TATAATTGTAAATATTGGTAATGAGATATTGTATTACTTTCATTCGGGTTAAATACACAAATATGATTAAAATTTAGAATTTTTATTATAAATAATTATTTATTTGTTGAATAAATAAAATGATTTTTTTAATTATATTAATATATCAATTAAACCTATAATAATATTTTAAGGGTTATTCTTTCATAAATATCTACGAATTTATTAATACTTTTGGACAAATTATTTCGAATATTGCCAATAATGTTTTACTAAGTATTTTTAATGTAAAAATGCTCACTCTTCTATTTTAGGGTTGAGAAATTCTTCAAATCCTAGGTTTTTATACCAATTTTTTATAATTTCACTGAAAAACTTATTAAGTAATTTTTTTTTTGAAGATCTAACGTTAATAGGTAATTCCACAATTTTAATACATTTTAAATCATTTATTAAAGAAGTGTCCAAGTTCTTATAATTTTGCAAATAGTTGTTTACTCTTATTGATGCGTCTGTTTGAAATGTTGTCAAATTCTTAAATTTCATTTCAGATATTTCATAAGGTGATTTGTTGAGATCCAAAGAGCTAGTCTCTTTACTTTTTTCCAAGACGTACTGATATATAAAGTCAATTTCATCAATTATAGGATGCGGTACGAAGACTTCAGAAAACAAAAATCTTATATCTATGTAGCTTATAAACTTCATAGCATTGTGTAATTTTTCAATCATAGTCTTGGAATTTTTCACAATTATTTCAAGAAATTGTACACAACGAATAAAATTTTTCGGTGACTTTTTTTTACTATAAAACTTTTGACAGTTATTAAGGATTAGATTTATTAAATCAAGAAATTTTTTTAAAATTTCTAGGTACTTGAAATTGAGTATACTTATTGTATAAATATACTTTGGTCTAAAAGATAGCAGGTTAGTGTTTGGACGAAAATCTTCCTCTAAAGATGAAATATTCAAATAATAATTTGAATCTCGTTTTTGATACAATATAATTTGTGAACAAATGTGACTCACCACCCTTGCGATATAATTTTCATACATTGCATGATAACTTTTGTATTGTACTCCTTCAATTAGATTCAACGTGAAAACGATAATAGATAATAAAATAAACGAATAAAATTTCATTTTAAAAAAATTATAATATGAAAAATTTCTTGTTTATAACTTAGGTAGATTTATAATGCACTTATTCAAATGTCCTTATTTGAATTTTACACATTATTTAAAAAAAAAAAAGTAAAATAAGAATATAGAGAAAATGTAGGCTACAGTGACAATATATTTCAATCAAATATAGTTCTGTTTTTATTGTATTATTAATATTTTTTTATAGAATGTATGAGTTATATTATCACCTAAATATTGATCAATGTTCTTTTTGAATATTTCTGTTGATAGCATCAATTATACACAATAATATTTTTTGCTATATTTTCTTATTTCATATAACGAAACTTTGTTTTTACTTTAAAGATTAATGTATAAAAGTTAAGAACACATGTAATTCAATTATTCCATTAATAGTTAACAAAAAAAAAGTTAACTGAATAATGCTTTTATCATAAATATTTTAACTTTATTAACACTTTTATTTGTTTATTTGTTCAGTTTGTCTGAACATTTTTTTACAGTCATTACTTATTTTAAAAATTATTTTACTGTACAAGGTAAAAAAAATTAATAAATTACTTTTATATTTATTTTTTTTTTTTTACGAAATTGTCAAAAGCACAGGTTTTTGTACTAGATTTCTATAATCTCATTTAAAGACTTCTAAATTATATTTTTTCTCGAAGAAATAACGTCATTAGAGAATTACATTATGTGATTTTTTAAAAATAATCTAATTAATAAACTTCATGGATCTGTAAAAAATTTTTTCATATATCATTTCTTAGTCAACACATTTTAATATAATAATGTATCAAGTGTGGAATTAAAAACTGAAACAAATATAGCAAATTTACAAAAAATACTGTTGAGGTTTTTATACATAGCTTTTAAATATTATAGTTTGACAATACAGTTTTTATTGAAAAGTATTGCATCAAGGCCTTTTAATTTTTATACACGTTAAAAGTAAAGAAATATACAACTACTTTATTATTTTTATAATTTCTCCGTATAAATAACAATAATAAATGATTGAATATCAATTTTATACTAAATTTAATTACTAAAATTAATATTTTTTCATTTATTTTATTTTTAAATCAAAAAATCGCTATGGAAATAGGAGTTTATGTTGCTTTTGTAATTATCCACCAATTTTTGAGAATTCAACACTATTTACAGATTTGAAACGAAGCGTTTCTTAAGATTGTAGAAAATTATCTATACTTGTCGCAACTTTGCCATGTCCACACTGTGCCTCGACTCCACTGTACTACCGTTTTTTATTATTATTATTTATAATAGAGGTTGCACGAATTGGAGTTTAAAATAAATAATTTATTTTATGAAAACGAAAATATTATTGAACAAAATGTTGCTCTACAAGAAGAAATGTTATACTATAAATTAAATTAATTTTTCATTACACAAATCTATTGTTTCCACTTACATTATAATTAGAAATAGACTAAACTGAAAAAAGAAGTTAAAAACTTCAACCAACGATATATTCATACGGGAGAATATTATAAACCAAGACAAACTAAGAGTAATTAAATAAATAATAATAAAATAGAATTTTTTTTTTATAAATAAACATTTTTATCTACAAAAAATATATTTCTTAAAATTTAGGAAAGCTTAAAAATAGCTGTTTCTGAACCACTAATATCAGACTCTATTAATAAACAGATCTGTTCCTGAAAAGTTTAGACATTTGGAGAATATTATTTTTCAAAAATAGAAGAACAAGCAATTCATTTTTTTGAAAAACTTAATATTAAAAGTGTTCCGCGCGAGTCAGCTAGACCGTAGAATAGTTGGTTGTGCACCACACTAGAATAAAGTTTTACCTTAAGCCTATTTAAATCGATATTATTGATGCGTGAGAGAGGTCACTTTGGAGGATGACGGCTAACCTGCTCATGTAATAAGTTACGAGAGTAGACAATAATTAAATAAATAACAACATACAGAGTGATTTTTTAATCATAACCCACTCAATTACTTGCAGAATATATATAATTTAAACATTTTAGCTTCGATGCGAAGCTGAGAAGGTATTGGTTTTATTAAGGTGTGTTTTTTTTTTGTGTCTGTTACCACTTTTTCTCAGCTCTCACTGAACGGATTTCTTTCAACGATACGTCAAAAGATCACAAATTGTATCTAGTCGAAGATATTACCCTCAAAAATTGAAAAAATTTCCATTGTTCCCCGTAAATGGGGGAAACCTCCAAAAAAATTACAAATTTAAAAATCGAAATTTTTTCAATTTTTTTTACTAAAAACTGCCGTAACTTTTTCAAAAATGAATATATTAATATAATTTTTTTATATATAGATGTATGATGTCATTACCTATCATTTAGTATATTTTTTTTATAAATCTGACTTTTTAATTGCCCACAGGGGGGGATTTAAAATGACAACTTTTTTACAAAAAATTAATTTTTTCAACTTAACTTTTGAAAGTGTTCCGGAAAGTCTGACACTTTTATATATATATCTGTAATATTTTATTATTACTTATAATATTAGAATATTATATTATGTTATCTTTTGTACATGTATGTCATATATTATGAATTCACAAGATCACCAAAACAGAGTTCCCTTATTTAAAACTTTAAATAATCAATAAATTAGGCAATTAAATCTGATTATCGTACAGATTCAAAGTAACGCCTATGTGTGGGTTCTCAATTAGGTCCAGACAATCACATTTAACTATTAATTAAGATCTACAGTTTCTAAGATCACACTAGGGATTGCTACACGACCCTCGTCTACTATAAAATCCCATTTTTTTCTATTAAAATCAGTTCTTTCGGCGATTTTAAAATACACAAAATCTGCGACACTCTACTCAAAATTTTTACTCTCTGGGACTTGGTCGATTTTTTAATTTATTTGGAATTAGAATATTTTTCTTTAAAACTAAATGACATTTAAAGATATTAAAGTGAATTTTGTTTTGGTGAATCTTTTAATTTAATTTTATTTGTTCATTAAATAATAATGTTTTATTTTATCATGGAAATAAATGTCAATTAATATTTTAAAACAAAACATTTTTTTTTATATATAATAAAACCGAATCAACTCTAATTTTCTCAGTTAATGGCAAATATTTATTATATGACTAAGTGTATTGCAACTCTATACTTATTGGGTAGCTAGTCATTTATGGTTTAATGTCTTTGTTCTAACGAACATCGCGCCGGCAGACAGCACAGAGAAACTTACGAATATATGTTTTAGTGTTTAATTTTTGACTTGGTAATTATTGTGCCGCATCCTTTCAAGGCGATACCGCCGGGACACATTGGGCCACCACAATTCCGCCTTGACAAATCTTTTACATAGATATAAATATTTCTGAATCTTGTTTTGGCCAGGCCAGAGGAAAATTTAAGAAATATTGGTGTCGATCTCTCAATAAAATATAATCTCTCAAACAATACAGGGTGGCCCATCACTCACTGACAACTTAAATAACTTTTGATCCAGTTAATATTTTTAGTTGATTTTTTTTTTTAATAATATTTATACGTTAGGTCTATAGCTATATCTCAATAATTAATTTTTTTACATTTTATTAAAAATATTAATTAATTTAAAATTTTAAATAAAATGTAAAAAAAAAATCTAAGATAGCTATTTTGTAGAGTAGAATTTAAGAAAAATTTTAGTAAAAAAATATCTTATTAATATTCAGTAGTAAATATTCTGTAGCGTTTTGAAGTTTGTAAAAATTTGAATTTTCATGTACTATTTTACGGTTATAAACATTGAAATACGTATTGAGAAAAGGACAGAAGAAAACGCTATCTTTTCATGATTACTGTGTATACATATGATGATAGTGTGTATACATTACAAACTTGGCATAAATACCATGATAAGAAATTAGATAAGGCAATTATTACTTATCACTCTCATTCAAAAGTATATTGAAAAGATAGCGTTTTCTTCTGTCCTTTTCTCAATACGTATTTCAATGTTTAATACCGTAAAATAGTACATGAAAATTCAAATTTTTACAAACTTCAAAACGCTACAGAATATTTACTACTGAATATTAATAAGATATTTTTTTACTAAAATTTTTCTTAAATTCTACTCTACAAAATAGCTATCTTAGATTTTTTTTTTACATTTTATTTAAAATTTAAAAATAATTAATATTTTTAATAAAATGTAAAAAAATTAATTATTGAGATATAGCTATAGACCTAACGTATAACTATTATTTAAAAAAAAAATCAACTAAAAATATTAACTGGATCAAAAGTTATTTAAGTTGTCAGTGAGTGGTGGGCCACCCTGTATACTCATTCTACAAAGTCAACTAAAGATACATCATTTGATTATAATTATAAAAATATAGAGTGTATAGAATCTCCTGCATATAATAATACAGCCATAGATTTTGTGTAACGGTTTCGCATTATTTATAATTAAACGTGTGAAATACAGTGTGAACTCATAATCAACATTGAATTGTCTAAAATAAGCATTACATTACGTGGGATACGAGGTAAGTACAAATTTAAATTTCCGCTTTCAAATTATAAATACTCTATTGCGTAATAAACCATTAAGATAGGTAATAAAGTTTTGTAGGATAATTGACTTCATTTATTNTTATAAAGCTTTGTAGGATAATTGACTTCATTTATTCAATATTGTTCAACCCTGAGATGAGTTCATTATTTTTGTCACAACGTTTGTGTACATTTTTATTTTTTAATCATTACCCTGTTGGTTTACCCATGTATTTAAACTCCGTTTATTCACCCCTCTGAATTCTTCTTTATTCTATAAGAATCAACCCTCAGATTTTCTTTTAGTATAATATAAGCATTCCCACCTTCAATAGTAAAATCACAACCATTTTTGTCCTCCATTATTCATTTCCCTTAAACCGACATATTATTATTGGTTATATCATAATATTTAATCCCCATAACAAACACCCTTTTCTTAAGCCATCTCGAACCCCATAA